TAAGGAGACACATAAGAATAAGGAGACACATAAGAATAAGGAGACACATAAGAATAAGGAGACACATAAGAATAAGGAGACACAATAAAAAAGGAGACACATAGGAATAAAAGGAGACACCTAGGTATAAGGAGACACATAAGAGACAGACACCTAATAAGGAGACAGTTATATAAGGAGACAGTTAATAAGGAGACAATGAATAAGGAGACAGTTAATAAGGAGACAATGAATAAGGAGACAGCTAATAAGGAGACAGTTAATAAGGAGACAGTTAATAAGGAGACAGTTAATAAGGAGACAATTATATAAAAAAGGAGACAATTATATAAAAAAGGAGAGAAATAAATAAGTATATAATTAATAAGGAGACAGTGAATAAGGAGACAATGAATAAGGAGACAATTATATAAAAAAGGAGACAATTATATAAAAAAAAAAGAGAAATAAATAAGTATATAATTACTGTATATCTCCTAAGGTAAGAGAACGATGAATAACTTGTAAGGATAAAACTTCATCATAAGGGACACCTTTGTCTCTATATATACACAAAAAAAAAAGGAGACAATATTTATTTATTTATTTATTTATTTATTTATTTATTTATTTATTTTATTTATTTATTTATTTATTTTATTTATTTTATTTATTTATTTATTTATTTATTTATCTCTAATGGTTTATTTAAGAGCAGCAACATACAATAGGAAAGAGGTTAAATACAGCAGCAGCAGCAGCAGCAGCAGCAGCAGACACAGCAGCAGCAGCAGCAGACACAGCAGCAGCAGCAGCAGCAGACAGCCCACTTCTTCGATGCATGCATTAATCCAACTTCTCTTAATGCCTCAACATTGCCCTGAAGGGCAGCACGATTTAGCTGTCTGTACACTAGATTCCTAGGCAGCTGCTGTTGCTGCTGCTGCTGCTGCAGTAGTTGCTGCTGCTGCTGCTGCTGCTGCAGCTGAGACGAAGACGCGGGTGTCTGCAGCTCAGACAGTGGCTGATGTGCATGCGGCTGCACAGTCTGCTGCAGCTCCTTGGTACTCCCAACAGGGTGAGCAGCAGGATCAGGATCAGCAGCAGCAGGATCAGGATCAGCAGCAGCAGCAGCAGCAGCAGCAGCACCAGGTACAGCAGCAGCACCAGACTGCAGCAGGAAGGCAGAATTCCATTGGCCAATTTCATATCCTTCTTCTGCTGCTGCTAAATTTATTAGCAAGGAACCCTCGTAGTCCTTCTCGTTGTATAGCTGCAGCGCTGCAGCAGCAACAGCAGCAGCAGCAGCAACAGCAACAGCAGCAGCAATTGTAGCAATAGCAGCAATTGCAGCAGTAACAGCAGTAGATAGAGCAGCAACAGCAGGAAGAGCAGCAGCTAACTATATGCAACAGCAGCAGCAGGATCAGCAGCAGCAGCAGCAGCAGCAGCAGCAGCAGAGGACTAACCTTTTCTTATGCTGTCTGCACTAACACCATACTCTGCTGCTGTCTTATATGCCTAATAAACATATAAACCCTCAATAAACCCTAAACCCTAAACCCTAAACCCTAAACCCTAAACCCTAATTTCTTACAAGTGCAGCTGCCTTGCAAGTATGAATATATTCATCTTGTTGTTTATATTTATTAATTTTATTAAATAAAAAATCTCCTTCTTTTATCCAACCTAAATGATAACCACCATCTGCTGCTGCTGCATATAAACGAAGAGATAACTGCAGCAACTGCAGCAGACAAGACACAGCAGCAGCAGCACCAGCAGCAGCAGCAGCAGCTAGTGCAGCAAATGCAGCAAATGCAGCAAATGCAGCAAATAAAGAAACAGATAGAGAGAGACAACAGCAACAGCAGCAACAAACAAGGGACAGCAAGAGACACCAAGCATAAGAACTAACAGACAGAGACAAAAAAAAACAAAAAAAGACAAAAAAAAGGACAAAAGGAGACAAAAAAAGGAGACCAAAAAAGGAGACAAATAAAGGAGACAAAAACAAGAGACAAAAAAAGGGGACAAAAAAAAAGGAGACATATATACTTGTTCTTTTTTTTGTTTATTAATTGTCTCCTTTTCTGCTTCTTTTTGTTTAATTTCTCCTAAGAAGAAGAAAGACTCAGGATGTTCTTGCAGGGCAGCAAGCAAGAAATAATATTCTGCTTTTTTTACGTCTTTTTTTAGTACAAACCCGTTGTTGCTGCTGCTGCTGCTGCTGCTGCTGCTGTTGTTGCTGCTGCTGTTGCTGCTGTTGGCGGTGGTGGGGGGGGATTCTGTTCCTACCCAATAAAAATATCCTAAATAATTTTGTGCGTCTGCGTCTCCAGCAGCAGCAGCCTGCAGCAGCAGCAACAATAATATATAAGACATGCAATAGTAGCCCCCATTGCTACTGTTGCTGCTGCTGCTGTTGCTGCTGCTGCTGTTGCTGCTGTTGCAGCAGCAGCAGCAGCAGCGAAAGGGATGCTTGGAACAGAAACAGAAGCAGCACCAACAACGACCACAGCACAATAACCACCAACTACAGCAGCAGAGGCAACAGCAGCAGCAGCAGCAGCAGCAGCTGCAGCAGCAGCTGCAGCAGCAGCAGCAGGATGACGTATACCTGTTCAAGTAATTGAATAGCTTGTTGTATATTTTGTTGTATTCCTTCTCCCCTTAAATAAGCCAACGCTAAATCTCTTAATGCTGCACCCATACCTCCAACTCCTGCCTTCTTTAATAATTCCGTCATACGACTGATATACACATAAACCCTAAACCCTAAACCCTAAACCCTAAACCCTAAACCCTAAACCCTAAACCCTAAACCCTAAACCCTAAGGTATCTTAATATATCTTAATTATATCTTAATATAAATTAATATAATTAAATATGCAATACTATATTATAAACCCTCTATACTATTGGCTATATAATAACTAGACTGTAAACCCTAAACCCTAAACCCTAAACCCTAAACCCTAAACCCTAAATGTGCTGGAGCTATGAGTGATACCGCTAGGGATAAGCATATATACAAACAAGGTAGTGTATAGTTCACCGCTTTTTTGCCTCTTCCTCAGCATTCGGCTGCTGCTGCTGCTGCTGCTGCTGTGGCTGCTGCTGCTGCTGCTGCTGCTGCTCCATCAGCTTGGCCAGCTCAAAACAAGCAACAGGATCGTCATTCTTTGCTTGCCCTTCCCAGTACTGCATGACGTCCTCCTGATCCACAAACCCTAATAAACCCTAAACCCTAAACCCTAAACCCTAAACCCTAATAAACCCTACTAAACCCTAAACTCTAGTACACAGTACTAAACCCTACTGAAACCTAAACCCTCCTGCTGTCTGCTGTTTGCATGCTAGCAGCAACAAGATAAAGGAGACAGTACTGTTTGCTGCTGCTTACCTGCTGCCTTGCTGCTGTTTGCTGCTCTCTATACTCGCGCTTTGTTGCTGCAGAGAGACGAGCAGATGGCGGCAACTGCAGCAGAGGGAATTGAGGGTTGCGCATCTGCTGCTCGCTAACCTCTAATGCAGCTTGCTGCAGCAGCAAACACACAGCAACAGCAGCAGCAGCAGCAGCAATAGCATCAGCTAGGTGCAGAAAGCAGAAGATTCAATAAGAGCAAACGGAACTGCAGCAGCAGCAGCAACAGCAGCAGCCGCAACAGCAGCACCACCAGCAATAATAACAGCAGCAGCAACAGCAGCAACAGCAGCAACAGCAGCAGCAGCAGCAGTTGTTGTTGTTGTTACTTTGTATAAGCCAAGAGCTGCCATGCAATCAGCGTCAACACCATCACCATACAATAACCTGCAGATACACCCCAATAAATAAATAAATAAATAAAATAAATAAATAAAATAAATAAAATAAATAAAATAAATAAAATAAATAAATAAATACAATAAATGGCAATGGCAACAGAGACAGGAGACAAGAGACAGAGAGACAGCTCCCACCGAAGAGGCAAGAGACAGCAGCAGCAGCAATAGCAGCTACAGTAGGTGCAGCAGCAGCAGCAGCAGCAAAAGCAGCAGCAGCAGCAGCAGCACACCTGAATGCCGTCGCTAGTATGGAGGGAATGTAGCCAGAGACAGCCCCAAGGAAATGTAGCTGTGTTGCTGCTGCTTCATTTTGCTGCAGCAGCAAGGACACGAAGCAGCAGCAGCAGCAGCAGCAGTAGCAGCAGCAGCAGCAGCAGCAAGAACAATGGGCAAAGAAACGGGGAATAAAACAAGAAAATGAGGAGGAGAAAGAAGAAGCAAGAAGGGCCACTACGTCAGCAGCAGCAGCAGCAGCAGGAGTAGCAGCTGCAGCTGCAGCAGCTGCAGCTGCGGCAGCAGCACAGGACTTACTGGTAGACCTCCAAGGCCAACAGCATTAGCAAGGGCGAGTGCATGCATAGCAGGCCCATAGCCAAGTGCAGCAGCAGCAGCAAAATGTTTAACAGCAGCAGCAGCATCACGACGACTACCAAAGAGGCCTGGCATGCCTAAGAAAACAGCAGCAGCAGCAGATGCACATGCAGCAGCAGCAGCAGATGCAGATGCAGCAGCAGCAGATGCAGATGCAGCAGCAGCAGATGCAGATGCAGTAGCAGCAGATATAGCAGCAGCAGAAGGAACTGAGCAGCAATACTGCTATGAGTCTCACAAACAGAAACAGAAACAACAGCAGCAAACGCAACAGCAGCAGCAGAAACAGCAGAAACAGCAACAGCAACAGCAGCAGCAGCAGCAGCAGCAGGACGCGTTAACTGTACCCATAAGCTCCATGTCTCCCAACTCGCACAACGCCTGAGCAGCAACTGCGTCCTTAGAGTCTTCATCCTGCAGCAGCAGCAACAGCAGCAACAGCAGCAACAGCAGCAGCAGCAGCAACAACAGCAGCAGCAGCAACAACAGCAGCAGCAGCAACGACAGCAACGGCAGAATTAATATACATATCTTTTAGTGTATAAAAAGCAAGCAAAGATAGGAGCAACCGCAGCAGCAACAGCAGCAGCAGGAGCAGGAGCAGGAGCAGCAACAGCAACAACAACAGCAGCAGCAGCAGCAGCAGCAGTGTATAACGAACAATAATTTCCTTGAAGAGTGTCGCCGCCTTGCGAGGGTTTTGTGTTTTGCCTCCCTCTCCAAATCTGTACACAACAGACAAACCCTAAACCCTAAACCCTAAACCCTAAACCCTAATGTCTAAACCCACTGCATGCTGCAGTCGTGTTGAGCTCCTTAGGATATGTTATTAGATGCAACACCCCTGAGGGTCTAGGGTTTAGGGTTTAGGGTGTGCTGCTCAGTTAATACGCAGCACTTTGTAATTAGGGTTTAGGGTTTAGGGTTTAGGGTTTACGTACTTAAGTTCGAGGGCCTGTGACAACTTCAATTCTCTCTCCGATGGAGGCTGAGGGCTGTTGCTGCTGTTGCTGTTGCTGCTGCTGCTATTTGCTGCAGCAGACGCAGCAGCAAAGACTATGCCATGTCCTATACATGCAAAGTGCCGGCTGTCTTGGGCAACAGCAGCAGCAACAGCAGCAGCAACAGCAGCAGCAACAGCAGCAGTGCAGCAGCCCCAGCAGCAGCAACAGCAATAAAGAAGCAGCAGAAGAACTTAGTTTACCTTGTTGGGGGTCTGATGGTAGTTGGTCTGCAGCAACGTTGCTGCTGCAGATAAGACTAATGAGCATCAGCAGCAGCACGGGCAGCAGCAGCAGCAAATAACCCTTAGGGGGGCCCCTTGAAGGGGCCCCCAAGGGGGATCGTACCCTATACCAACCCATCAGCAGCAGATATTGAGGCCCCCAGCAGCGACCTCCTCATGTGGGGCCCCCCCGCCCCTCCGTTAGAACGGAGACTGTGTTGCTGCTGCTGCTGCTGTTGCTGTTGTTGGTGCTGTTGCTGCTGTTGTTGTCGCTAGGGCTGCCGCTAATGTTGTTGTTGCTGCTGCTGCAGTTGCTGCAGCTACCGCTGTTGCTGCAGCTGCTGGATCGCAGCACGAGACACAGGGCCTAGGGGGCCCCCCTGTCTGCAGCTACAGCTAGCAAGGGGAGTGAAGCCCTAAACCCTAAACCCTAAACCCTCATAAACCTTCCAATTAATAAATAAATAAGCACTTGTGTGTCTGTAAAAACACTTCACAGCAGCAGCAGTAGCAGCAGCAGCACAAGCCCACGCTGCAACACTCGCAGTGCAGGGGCCCCCCGTGTCGATGGAGGGGCCCCCCGCCAAGGGGGGCCCCCCCCCTCTTGCAATGCACGCATAAAGGGAATAAATAGGGTACAATTTTTTTGTTATTTTAATTGCTAATAATAATTATTTATTTGCTGCTGCATGCAAGGGTAAACCCTACACAGCAGCCGTGAGACCCTTCTATCCTTGAGGCCCTCAGGGGGCCCCCCTGCTCGCCTGCATCAGCGGCAGCAGCGGCAGCCGGAGCAGCAGCAGGAGCAGCAGCAGGAGCAGCAGCAGGAGCAGCAGCAACACACCAAAGCATCAGCAGCAGGAGCAGCAGCAGCAGAAAGAGCTATGGCTGCTGGCTCGTCCTTTAAAGGGCTTCTCCTTAACCGCCCACTGTCTGCGTTGTTGCTGCCGTTGCTGCTGCTGGTGCTGCTGCTGCAGCAGCAGCAGCAGCAACTGCTGCTGCCTGCTGTCTCTCTGCCTCTGAATCCCCGTTCCTCTCCCCCTGGTGTTCCTTCCTTCTTGAGGTGTACATACACCCCAAGGACCTCTCTTATCCATAGGCGTATTTCTGTACATACCCCTCCTCTTAATATACCCCTATGTCCATCAGCAGGAGGAGGAGGAGGAGCAGCAGGACGACAAAGAAGAACAGCAACAGCAGCAGCATCAACAGGAGGCGGAGCATCAACAGCAGCTGCTGCTGCAGCAGCAGCAGCAGCAGCAGCAGCAGCAGCAGGAATAGTAGCAGATCCAGGACTAAGTGAGAAATTTATATCTGAAGGATTTAATTATTTGTTGCCTATCTTACAAGACATATCTGCTGTCTTATCTAAGCAGCAGCAGCAGCAGCAGCAGCAGCAGCAGCAGCAGCAGCAGCAGCAGCAGCAGCAGCAGGAGGAGCTGCTGCTGCATTTAATAGACTTATTGCAGCAATGGGAAGCAGCACAGCAGCAAGAAAAAAATAATTATTTATTTATTTCTTCTTTTAATAAAGAAAAAGAAAAAGAAGAAATTTCTGTTGCTCAAGAAGAAATTCATGATTCAATTTGTATACAAAAAAATATACAAAAAAATATTATTGTATGCTTGCTGCTGCTCCTGCTCCTGCTGCTCCTGCTGTTGCTGCTGCTGCTGCTGGTGGTGCTGGTGATGCTGGTGCTGGTGCTGGTAGTGCTGCTGCTGTTGATGGTGCTGGTGGTGGTTCTGCTTTGTTTGCTGCTACTGCTGCTGCTGCTGCTGCTGCTGCTGCTGCATGTTGTTTGCTGCTGCTGCTGGTGTTACGACTCTTGGTGCTGTTGCTGCTGCTGCTGCTGCTGCTGCTGCTGCTCAGGCAGAAGCATGTGTAGGGTTTGGTGATTTTGCTGCTGAGGATTATGCTGTTATAGAAGTTCGTGCTGCTGCTGGTGGGGACGAAGCAGAGCTATGGGCCCTAGACCTATTCAAGGTAAACCCTAAACCCTAAACCCTAAACCCTAAACCCTAAACCCTTAATGTAGACCTCCAGCGCAACAAGTAAACCCTTAAAAGAACCCTCATGCAGGATAGCAACCGAAGGAATGTTCATCTTTATGTTAGGGTTTATGAGGGTTTAGGGTTTAGGGTTTAGGGTTTAGGGTTATTTATTTATATATATACATATAGATGCTAAAATTATATAGCGAAAGAAAAGGATGGAGAATAAAAGAAATAAATTCTTTGGCTATGGAGGTTAGAGGAAGAGGGTGTTTAGGGTTTATGCTCCTTGAGTCTGGTGTACATCGTGTACAAAGAGTTCCTCTTACTGAGACACAAGTAAACCCTAAACCCTAAATTCTCATAAACCCTAAACCCTTAAAAACCCTAAACCCTACTGCTTACTGCGCAAACGCAAACGGAGGGTTTCTGCTGTCATTCCATGCAGACACAAGGAGGATACACTGCTAGCTATATATGTATATATACACTTTAGGGTTTAGGGTTTAGGGTTTAGGGTTTGGGGTTTTGCTGCAGGGGAGGATGCACACATCAACTGCAACAATCGCCGTATTAAGAGAGAGGGTAAGGAAAAGAGACAAATAATAAATAAATAAATAAATAAATAAATAAATAAATAAATAAATAAATAAATAAATAAATAAATAAATATAAATAAGTAAATAAATAAAAAGGAGATAGGTACAAGAAATAATAATATATATATTATATATTATATAGTGGGTAACTAGTGCATAGAATACATGCTGCTGCTGATGCTGCAATTCCTGCTTCTGCTGCTGCTGCTGCTGCTGCTGCTGCTGCTGCTGCTGTTGTGTCTCCTTTTAGCAACACGAGGAGGTAACTATAAAAGAAAAAGATATTATAACTCGTACTGCTCGTTCCTCAGGAGCAGGAGGACAAAATGTTAATAAGGTAAATAATAATAATATATATTTATTTATTTTTATATTTATTTATATTTATTTATATTTATTTATTTATTTATTTATATTGGATATATATTTTGTTTGTTTTGTTTCTTATTTTCTTTTTTTTCTTTCCTTTATTTTGCCATTATATTTGTGACTATTTTATCATTAGGGTTTAGGGTTTAGGGTTTAGGGTTTAGGGTTTAGGGTTTAGGGTTTAGGGTTTATTATTTGTATAGGTAGAGACAGCAGTTGATTTATTGCATATCCCTACGGGTATAAGAGTATTCTCTCAGCAAGAAAGGACACAAGCACAAAATAAAAGAGTAAGAAAGAAAAAAAAAAGAGATAAATAAATAAATAATGTTTAATCTGTATATACACCTCTAATGCATGCATATATCCATGCATGCATGCATTCATGCACACATGTATTGAACAATAACAATAATAATAATAATAATAATAATAATAATAATAATAATAATAATAATAATAATAATAAT